CTAAATCATTCTGACCTCCCTCTCTGAGAGAAAGAGAGAGAGAGAGAGAGAGAGAGAGAGAGAGAGAGAGAACAGAATGCAAGATGAGTGAGACAGAGAGAAAACAAGAGGAGGGATAACACAATGTGAGGCGATTTATATGTACACTACTGATCAACAGTTTGGGGTTAGTAGGTCTACTTTTTACTGTAAAAAAAATGGCCGTGAATTTAACGGTAAAAGACTGTAAAAATGCTACAGTAAAAACCTGTTAAATGGTTAAAGGTAAGTTCCCTACTAAGTACTATGTACGGTGAAAAACTGTTTTGCACATCACATGTAATTTTACGGTAGTATACCGGTTTTGGAAGTGAAAAAGAACGTATAAGTTACAGTGAATAATTGTAAACTGACATTCCCAGAATTCCATGTGTTACATTTCAAATTTGAAGTTTGATGTGTTTTTTTTTTGTTTTTTTAAAAATAACTGTTTCTTCTTAGTTTTTTGTTAACAGTTTTGTACATTAGGGTTGTATGTTACATCTAATGTTGTTAAATTAATGTTTATTGCATATTTCAGTTTCATGTGTGTTACCATGATGGTGTTTAGTGTTTGTGTGAATGACACTGTGCACCTTCTAGATATGTTAGTATTAAACGCTGCTTGTGATGGGCTTTGGTTCATCATGTGATTTTCTAATCACTGCCTGCTTTTGGTGGTTATCAGTATATTACAAAGGTACAAAACAGATTTCAGTACTTCAATAGATGTATACATAATGAATGTATACATTCTTCAATAAATGTAAATTTAAGCTAAAACCATAAAATCTAAAATGTTGCTACCGTATCTTTTACAGTAAAATTCCAGCAACCACAACTGCCGTTTTTTTTACCGTACATTTTACGGATATGGATTTTTTTTTTACAGTGCATTAATACTTACATTGAGCAATGATGCATTAAAAAGTGATATTAAAAATATTGATATTACAGGATATTTCTATTTCAAATAAATGCTGTTGTTCAAACTCAAAGAATATCAAAGACACAGTTTCCACAGAAATATTTAGCAGCCACCGTTTTCAGTATTGATAATAATAATAAGGAATGTTTCTTGAATGCCAAATCAGCATATTAGAATGATTTGTGAAGTATCATGTGACATGTGCCAGCACAGGAATAAATTACATTTTAAAATATATTAGTTCTTTTTCTAAATTGTAATATTTCACAATATTACTGTATTACTGTATTTTGAACAAATAAATGCAGTCTTGGTGAACATAGACTTCTTTTGAAAAACATATATAAATAAAATAAAAATATTTTGAACGGTAGTGTATCTATCAAATGTAATACAAGCAAAACCGAGAAAAAATAAATAATGAACACCATTTAAATTTCAACAATACAAACTCATCTCAAATAATCAAATAAATAATTAAGCTGTGATTTTAAGTGCTTAGTGGTTTATATATTGTGTTACCGGTGTAATTGCAGTGGATGGATTTTCTGATCTGTCCACAGTTAGGTGGTCACTGCATGATTTTAATGCACAACATGGAATCAAAGAACCACCTGATGCACCTCAAAGTTAAATAAAATCATGTATTATCCCACTTAAACCATGGTCACTTGACAGCACTGACAAGTTAAAGCTGTTTTTGATGGTAGCAGAGCAAAACTAGACTGGAGAGGTAAAAATTACGGCTTGTTAGATATATCATTCTGCACGCTTTAATTCAGACACAGAGATAAAGTAGTGTTAAGATTACGTAGATATATATAAAATTCATTTATTTGAATGACTTATAACATTTTAATTAATAATTGAGAGAGAGAGAGAGAGAGAGAGAGAGAGTATGTGTGCCTGTAAGTTTATTTACTTCAAAAACAGTGGCATTACCACCTCATTGCTGCAAATTAATTAATAAACGTCACAGGGCAGCATTGACAACAAGTTGCTCCTGAAAGTTTCTTTGTGTTCAGCATGATCTCCAGTCTTGGTGTGTGAGCCTTCTGTGCGGTTTTGTGTGCTTTAAATGAAGGCTGCATATTGGAACTACCTGTGCATTACACGGTTTAAACGCACACCTTCCAGCCAATCAGAATCAAGTATTTAGATCATGGTATAATGGTAATATTAGGAGTTAAAAACTGAACAAAAGTGATTTTATCATATTAGTCTATATTAACAAACTAAAAGTATTGTGGGTATACTTCCAAAACAGTGTGTGTTTAAACATTTATCCTTGTGCAATGCCTTGTCTCATAGACTTGCATTGTAAGTGTATTAATATACACACACATGTTGGGTTTGATTTCAAGAATTCATGGATGTGTTATAATTATTTTATGTGGTGCTTGACACCATGTGGGTTGGATTGAGTTAGGAACATTTCTTTAAAGTGTGAAAGAATGAGAAATCTTCTTAGGAGTGAAGAAACAGAAGAGAGAAAGACATGAAAGAGTAATGGAGGACAACCAGTGTGGCCTAAAATCTGCAGTTTTAGGCCAAACAACATATCTACACCCCTGGCTATCTGATATACACCAGACACCAAAACCAGCAGCCGTAAGCGTCTATACACTTCCTCACTAAACCACTTGTTTTCCTAACCAGGGGCCACATCTGGGTCTCCAGCATACTGTAATACTGAATATCTGCGTTTCCGAGCAAAGGGTCAGAAGTGCATTATTTATTTTCAAATTGCCATATTATTCTGTGCAAAAGTGGAGAATGTGTTTACAGCTGTCGAGAAGATGAACTTTCATTTCTGTATTATTCAGTTTGGCTCAAACAGAGTGATTACGGACAACAAAACAGAAGAAAAGTTTGGGAGGACCCTGCGGCAAATGATAACCTACATAAAGTTTTGAACTGTGCAGAGCTGGAACCCTCTGGCTGAAAGCAGAGATTCACGTAGAGCTGGTTGACTTTCACTGAGTCAAATCAATGCTAACTACAGAAGGACACAGCAGGGAAAAGACAAATTGGCCATGTGATGTATAAACAAACCAGAAACCTGGGAGCTTCAAAACAAAACCAGAACTTGACAAGAATACATAAACTAGACTTGAAAGTATTCCTGAAGAAAATGCAAATGATACTCACTGCGATGCTTAGGTGTAATGCTAAGGTGTATGCAGTTGTTAAGCTATTCTGCGTGTTAAAGTGTGTGTAAGATAGGGGAAAGCTTAGCCACAGGCATTACTTGCATATGAATATAGATATGAAAAGCAATTACTGTAAATTAAACAAAATGAAAACTTGCTTGTGAAAATGCTTTCTTGAGCAGCAGTTTTCATTTCATTAGAAACATGCTAGTAACCCACCAAAACACCCAAGCAACTGTCTCAATGCCACAGCAACCACCCAGAACAACCTAGCAGCCAACCAGCAACTCCCTTACAATTACAGAGAGAGGAGTTTCAAAGATGGCTGCCGAGTGAAATGACTTGCCTTAAAGGGACTTTGATGGCCTAACCCTCTAAAACACCCTAGCAACAGTCTAGTAATGCCATAACAACAACTCTATTATATATACAGTCTCTATTATATTCTGATTCCTATATAATATTTTCAAGAAAGTGTTATAGAATTTATGGCACTAGATATGTCAAAGTAAGCAGAGTGGTAACTGTGTTTACATGATTTAGTGTCACGTGATCTTTCAGCAGAGGTGTAAAGTATTGGAGTAAATGTAATATGCGAGCCACTCCTGGCTCTTCTGTTCTCTCGCCCTAGCTGTGCAGGCTTCCACACTGGGCAGAGATTTGAAAGTCTGGCATGTCTCTTTGACTAGTGCATTTTTTGAGCCTATATTTAGTATAAGTAAAATACTTAAGTACTGTTAAAATCAGATACTCTAAGACTTTTACTCAAGTTGTTTTGGAATTGGTGACTTGTACCGTGTAGTGGAGTCATTTTCACTGTAAGGTATCTGTACCTTTACTCAAGTATGGTTTTTAGGTAATCTTTACACCTCTGTCTTTCAGAAATCATTACAATATGCAGATTTGGTGCTCAAGTAACATTTCTTATCATTTTCAATGTAGAAAACAGTTGTGCTGCTTAATAGTTTTGTGGAAACCATGATACTTTTTTTCAGGAGTCTTTGATGAACATAATATTCAAAACAACATAATCTATTGTAAAATATTTTGTAACAACCCTAGTGAAAAATAAATATACTAAAATGTATTTGAAATACATTTATTTCATGCTAAGTATACTACAAATGCATATACATTTTATGTACTTAATAAAAAATACCCTGCAGTTGTACTTTTGGTGTACTAAACTGGTATACTTAAAGTCTGCTAAATTTGAACAACTAATTTTGTGCTTAGTGCACTTTAATTGTGCGGAGGTAGCTCTGAAGTACAACTAAAGATATACTGAAGTATATTTGATTGTGCTAAAGTTGAACTATTGTAAGTGTACTTTAGGTACTCTTTAAATGTCTTGCATTTAAAGACAATATTATTCAAAGATCACACAGTCCTCATCAATAGCGACATTTCAGGTTTAATATTAAGAAATGTGCATTGTGCACAAGTAGTTTGTTGCAACCTAGAATTAAACTGCTGGTCTCGTCTCGTACTGTAAAGCTGCTATTGACACAATCTGCACTGTAAAAAGCACTATATAAATAATGGTGACTTGACTTGACTTGACTACTCCAAATAAAGTTTAACTATCATTTTTATATCAATAAGTCTCGATTGATATGTCAGTAAATATGTTAATAGATTTGAACTAGGGTGCTTTCACACCTGTAGATCGATTGCTTTGTTCTGAAACAGGGATTAAAATTATAAAAATTTAGCTTTTTATTCTTGGTGCGGTTCGCTTTCGCACGGCAAAGTTTCTAAACGGACCAAATTTGTTAATACAAGTCATGCGCGAGTAAACTGTTCTCTCATTGGTCAAAGTTCCACGGTTTATTTTCCGGGATTCCACTTAGCTGTCATGGCTGTCATCCGTCAGGATGGAACGATAACAGCTTCGCGGGATTATTGTTGTTTTTTTTTTGTAGCTGTCGTTATATTATTTTATAATTTTGAGCAGGAGTCCAGGATTAATCGGGAATACATTTTTAAAATGCACCTACTAAGAAGAAGAGCAATAAGACGGCACTATAAAATGAAAAAGTGCACTTTGATTTTGAATGGCGAAGACGTGCTCACCCACAGACATTCACAGGTTCATTTTGAAGTATTAGCAAAACAACAAAGCTAATGCTTTTCACGGAACTTCCTATTGTTTTGGCGCGGATCCGAGCGCGATTGCCGTGTTCACATATGCCCAAACGAACCGAGCTAAAAACGCGCCAGGTGTGAAAGCACCCTTATGAAATAAATGTATATTAAATATATAGCTTTTCCCCCTAGGAATACACATTTACTGTTAACTTTGATCAATATACTGCATCCTTGCTGAAGAAAAGCCTTGATTTATTAAAAAAATAAATAAATAAAATAAATAAATAAATAAAATAATATAAAACTTTTGGGTCTCCCGATCAGATGGATTTCTAATGAATTGACTGGTTTTGCTGATTTTGTCAGTGAAAATTTGACAAGCAAATCGTGACTGCACCTTTATTGAATGGCTCATTTTAAATGAAATGGCCCAAAATAGATCAACCGCTAGTCTATCTTTCCTTGAGCAGCTAGGATGAACACAATGATGAGTGAACTGTAACTTTACAATTCAAGCAGCTGGCTGAATTCCACACTGTGCTGCCATGGGATCAATCCCTCAACGTTTCAACTGCCTGAACCTGATCTAATACGACTACGAATTTAGTTGCATAATAATGTTCACACTGACACACAGACAAAGACACACACACACACACACACACTGCATACCTGGGAATGCCTGCAAGGTACGCAATAAGTCGTCTGAGGTCCTCCTGTCGTATTCTGTCATGGTTACTCCTGGCTGGAAATGTAAGGACTGGCCCTCCACGACGATCTCTTCCACCTGCAGGCCAAATCAACACACTATATAATTGACTGGAACAACAACGTCTGTGTCACTCAAGCATTAGTAAAATAGGGCAATGGCTAATCTTAAGAAACTCCAACTAGCCTACCTACTGTATATAGTGATGCTTTAGAACACCATGGACTACTTATCATAGCCAACCATGCCAAGTTGTGTTTAACTAGCTTCCGTTTTTGTCTAATACAGAATATGATGTCTCATATCATTGCTGGGGTAATATGATTGCTTCATATCGCTATTGCAAACCTACTTCCGTTACACTTTCTTTGAAGTGCAGAGGTGGAAGAAGGGCAAAATTGGAAATGAGTTATATCTCTACTTAGACAAGCTTAGCTGATGATAAGCAAGTTGGCCTGCCAAAGATTAAGATGTTCGTAAGCTATCTGGGTCAGCAGCCAGCTAAACACTCACTGCATTTCCCCAGCGATGCTGCTCTGCCTTTGAGCTCACATATCTAAGAGTGTTAATGACTGTCAATGCAAATACGTTTCCTCTCGTTAATATTCATAGAAATCCGGGCCTTTGGATATGGAGAGAACACTTCTAAATAAATGGCTTCGAATGGAGCGGGAAGCAAGTTTCTTTTTCACTTCTTAACTATGATGGGTTTTTTAGACATGGGACCATGGTTTATAAATTTTGGGGTCGGCAAGAGATTGAAATATTTTTTAAACAAGCCTCTTAGGCTCACCTGGGCTGCATTCATTTGATCTAAAATACAATAAAAAGTAATACTATGAAATATTTTTACAATTTATTATTATTATTATTTTAATTTATTTTAAAATGTCATTTATTTCTGAGATAGCAAAGCTGAATTTTCAGCAGCCATTACTCCAGTCTTCAGTGTCACATAAATAATTCCAACAATCTGATTTGGTGCTGAATTCACATTTCTTAATATTATCAATACTGAAAACAGATGTGTTCCTATATATTTTTGATGAAACCATTATACATTTTCTTCAGGATTCTTTAATGAATATAGTTCAGAACAAAAGCATCTATATTAAATATAATTTTTCTAACATTACAGTATGTTTAACGTTTGATTAATATTCAGCATCTTCTGAATAAAAGCATTACTTTCCTAAAAAAAAAAAAAAAGCTTACTTTTGTAACAATTACATTTATGCATTAAGCAGACACTTTTATCCAAAGCGACTTACACAAGAGGAACACAGCAATTCATCAAAAAGCCAACAAACATAGCCAGATAGACAACTACTGTAGATTAGGAAACCCAAAACATAGAATAATATATAGGCTCACCTGATAAGAATGCCACCTTTTCTTTAAGGATGGGAAGAACTTCAACAGCCTTCATGTCTTCATTTCTGTGGAACCCTGGAAGGATTCAAAAACTGGTCAGTCTCCAAAGCACATGATGACAAACACATTCACACAACTTGTAAACAGGAAAAGCAACACATGATATCATTTATTCATAGGTTGATTAGCCTACATTTATGAAACAGCACACTAGAACTATGGCAGGATAATAGCTAAAACATGCAGAAATTTATCACATTCATATTTTTTTGATTTACTTCAATGTGTTTAAAATGTGTCTGATTATATGGAGTGCAGTTAATAACATATTTAGTTCTGTATGTCAAGGCCTCCCGAGTCAGATACATGCCCGCTCCCCCCTCTCCTCCCCAACCCTGATCCTCATTCTCTCTCTCCCCCGCCTACTCAACAGATGGCAAGATCTTAATTAATCAACAGCTTCGCCAATGCATATAACATGCTAATGTGCACTCATTGACACCAATCTCCCTCAATACAAATAGTGTCAAAATCTTGCATTAAACCAATTCGCCAATTAAAATGTCAAACATATTACCCGTTTTAAGAATAACTGGGTTATACAAAAGATCAAAAAGTCAGTACCCAGTGAGCACATAAAGGTCAATCAGAATTCTGTGCTCAGCAAAAAGTATTGTGTTCTGCTTTAAATATCTTGTTGAACATCTGATTAATATCTTCTATACAGACACTTTTAATGTTTTCGAAAGAAGTCTTTTATGCTCACCAGACTGCATTTATTTGATGAAAAAATGCAGTAAAACAGTAACACTGTGAATTTTCAGTACTCCAGCCTTCAGTGCCACATGATCTTTCATAAATATTTCTACTATGCTGATTTCGTGCTTAAGAAACGTTTTGTCTTATCAACGCAGAATATTTGTGGAAACTGTAATATATATTTTTCCAGATTCAAAAGAACAACATTTACTTAAAATACAAATCTTTTGTAACTGTCACTTTACTGTCCCTTTTGATCAATTTACTGCATCCTTTCTGAATAAAAGTATTATTATTATTAATAATAATTGTACTTTATATATATAATTTATATTATTTAAAAACGATATAAAATTATAAAAAATAATTGTACTTTATATATATATATATATATATATATATATATATATATATATAACAGAATTCTGGAACTGACACAAGGATAACTTCTGCTGCCACATTTGGTGGTCCATACGCAAACAAATAATCTCATAATTGCCAAATATTCACTGGTTAATAGGCCTATACAATATTTATCTAAAAATATATGATAAAAAGTAGCCTAAATGTTCCAGACAAAATATATACAGTGCTGTGAAAAAGTTTTTGCCCCCCTCCTGTTTTTATTTTTTGCATATTTGTCACACTTGAATGATTCAGATCAAACTAATTTTAATATTACACAACGATAACCTGAGGATAACTGGCAATGAGTCTTTCACATCACTGTGGAGGAATTTTGGCCCACTCTTCTTTGCAGAATTGTTTTAATTCACCCACATTAGAGGGTTTTCGAGCATGAATGGACCGTTTAAGGTCGTGCCAGAGCATCTCAATCGGATTTAAGTCCGGACTTTGACTTGGCCACTCCAAAACCTTAAGTGTGTTTGGGATCATTGTCCTACTGCATAACCCAAGTGCGCTTGAGCTTGAGGTCAAACTGACGTTCGGACATTCTCCTTCAGGATTTCCTGATAGAGTGCAGAATTCATGGTTCAATCAATTATGGCAAGTCGTCCAGGTCCTGAAGCTGCAAAGCAGCCCCAGACCATCACACTACCACCACCATGTTTGACTGTTGGTATGATGTTCTTTTTATGAAATGTTGTGTTGGTTTTCCAGACGGGACACACACCTTCCAAAAAGTTAAACTTGTATCTCATCAGTCCACAGAACATTTGCCCAAAAGTCTTGGGGATAATCAAGATATTTATTTGGCAAATGTGAGACGAGCCTTTGTGTTATTTTTGATCAGCAGTGGCTTTTGCCTTGGAACTCTCCCATGGATGCTGTTTTTGCCCAGTCTCTTTCTTATTGTTGAATCATGAACACTGACCTTAATTGAGGCAAGTGAGGCCTGCAGTTCTTTAGATGTTGTTCTGGGTTCTTTTATGACCTC